TCTTCGCCACAATTCCGCGCTCTCCCTCCTCAATTCCTCCTTCGTCTCCCGGAGACAGTGCACAGAGGGGGGAGATGCCGCCTCATCCGCCGGGGAGGGGGGGTAATCACGTCCTTTTGGGGTGGAGGGGGGGACAACAAGCTAACAATCTCTATCCCCCCAGCCTGGTGATGCAAGACACAGGTAATGTCATTAAGGCACAGAGTCCCACAGGAAAAAAAAGGGGGGCTACCGTTGACCAGAAATTGCCAAAACCAACCTGGAGACCTCCGTTGACTCGTCTGGTTGCTTCACGAAAACCCACCGACAGCTGTGGCGGTATGGGAGAGCGCGGCTATGAATCTAAAACAGCGAAACCAAGCACAGGCCATGTTGACGGTCTTCCTACCTCCCCTCCCCAGGTGAGAAGGAGACAAAAACGCTTACAGGCAACCGGGTCCAACAGGAGAAAACCGAGGAGTCCACAAAGAACCAGATCCTGGAGGTGAGGGCGAATGGAGGGCTCTCGAGAGGTAGTCAGAGGTTTTCACAAGAGGAAGACGGCATGTAGCACAGAATACGTGAAAGAATCCTGAGGACCAGGGATGATGTTTTGAAGGGTCGGTCTTAGTCCAAACTCAACGGTGGGGGGGGGGTCTTTTTTTTTTTTCTTCTTCTTTAGTTTATCTTCTTCGTCCCAATGAAGGGTCTTCTACCTCCAAGAAGCAAAAAGATATAAAAATAAATAAATAAATACAGAAGAAGGAGCCTTGGTCATAAGGGTGGGATGCGGTCTGCAGGCCTCCTTCCGAAAACCAAAGACTGGGGGGGGTGAGGAGCTGTGTGTGCACGACGAAGGCGGATGGTGCATGTGAAGTGCCTGTCAGTGCAGAGAAATGGACAGCGGGGAGGATGAGGTGTGCATACGCCGTGCTGGAAGGGAGAGGAGGCTATGCATGCAGTGATGACATGCCATCAGAAGGATGCAGTGCGTCTGCGGTGCATATTTATAAACGGCGTGTGGGTAGGACCCCCGCGTGTTGCGAAGCAGGTGCAGCGGGCTATGGGGGGAAAATCCAGATTTGCAGGGTCTCTCTCTATTACCATTTCCCAGTCACTTCCTCCGCTGTCTCCCTCCCTTTGCAGGAGTCTCACACACTTCTCTCCATATCGCCACACCACGCCTCCTCCCTCCCTCTCCCTTTCATCCCTTTTTCTATCTGGTCTTGTGTCTATGCCCCTCTCCTATCCTCTCCGGCTTTGCCCCCTTTGCTCTGCTCCTTTCCTGCAGCTGTCTTCTCTTTCTCCTTCATTTAATTCTTCCCATGCCTGGTTTTTCTTTTTTTTTTCTTTTTCCTGGTTAATATTTGGTTTTGTCTGCCACTCACCCCACTCTTGGGTTATCCATCCTCCCCTGATGGTGCTGAGGCTGACTCGTCTTGTATTCTCACCATGGAGTGTTCTACTGTTCTCCTCTCCCAGCGCTCCCTCCCCCCATCGCCCATTCATTGAAGTCTTTGCTGGAGGTGGAAATGTGCAGCACAGTCACGAAGGATGGCCTTCAAGTGTCAGGGTTCATGCGTGTCCATGCACGGTGTATGTCATACGATTGGTGAGACCTACCTCGCCCACGCTGGTCCTCACACCTACCTAATGGAGGATCAGGAAGACTCACAGAGCAGTTCTGGGCAACAAGTGACAGCATTTCTCTAAGCTACTAAAGCCATCCAGCAAACCCAGCAACTGTGCTAAAATCCCAAGATCCTATCTTAAGGCTGAGCTCACAGTTGCCTGGTAAATAGTAAACTGCAGCGTGTGTCCATGCACTGTGCATGTGTCAAGTACACGGGGACACCATGGGGGAGGATTTACTAAAAGTGGTGCACTCAGAATCTGGTGCAGCTGTGCATGATAGCCAATCAGCTTCCAATATCAGTTTGTTTAAATAAGCTTTGACAAGAAAATCTGGAAGCTGATTGGTTTCTATGCAGAGATGCAGCAGATTTTGCACCCTCCAGTTTAATAAATACCCCCCCCCCATGATGAGTCCTACACCTACCTCGCCCACGCTGGTCCTCACACCTACCTAATGGAGGATCAGAAAGACTCACAGAGCAGTTCTGGGCATTTCTGTAAGATACTAAAGCCATCCAGCAAACCCAGCAGCTGTGCTAAAATCTATAAAACAAAAAAATGCACAATATCCTGCAAAGAAAATTGCAATGTGTTCATGTACTGTACATGGGGACGCCATGGGGGTTATTTACTAAAACTGGAGAGTGCAAAATCTGGTGCAGCTCTTCACAGAAACCAATCAGCTTCCAGGTTTTACTGTCAACGCTTAACTGAGCAAGCTGAAGTTAGAAGCTGATTGGCTGCCGTGCACAGCTGCACCAGATTCTCAGTGCTCCAGTTTTAGTAAATCCCACGCAATAAGTCCTACACCCATCTCTCCCACACTGGTCCTCGCACTTACCTAAAGGAGAGTCAGGAGACTCGGATCAAAGTTAAAGCACAGTTCTGGGCAACACAGTTTGCATTTGATCATTTTCTGCAGTACTTTTTGCGGTGCGATTTTGCACATTAATTTTTGCCGCGTTTTTGATGCGTTTTGCGTTTTTTTTTTTTTTTTGTTTTGCAACTTAACCGCTTAGGGGACTGCTCAGATATACTGCTGCAGGGTGGCACATGTGCGCAGAATCACGTATATATACGTCATTTTGCATTTCGGGTAGGGGGCGCGTACGAGCTGCGCGCCGCCATTCGCAGACGTGGATGTCAATCACTGGGTCCCGGCCGGTAATTACTTGCCGGCGCCTGGTGATTACCGGCGATCACAGACGGAGGGAAGATTGTTTTGTTTACAAACAACCTTCCTCCCTGTCAGCTGGAGCACACTGCTTGGGATGGCTGGGCACAGTACAGGCATCAAAATCAGTGTGCTTACAGTGAAGCACACCCCCCCCCCCCCATAGTAAAACATCACAGCACACAGTTAACCCTTTGATTGCCCCTCACATTAACCCCTTCCTACCCAGTGCCATTAGTACAGTGTCAGTGCTTTTTTTAGCACTGATCACTGTATTGGTGTCACTGGGGTGTCAGTGACACCAAGTCAGTCCCCCCCCCCCCCAGTGTCAGAATGTCCATCGCAGTCCCGCTAAAAGTTGCTGATCACCGCCATTACTAGTAGAAAAAAAATCCCATTATCTATATCACCATTTGTAATCGCTATAACTTTCATGTAAACCAATTAATTTACACGTATTGGGTTTTTTTTTTTTAGCAAAGACATGGAGCAGAATACATTTTGGCCTAAATTCATGACGAAATTTGATTTTTTACATTTTTTTACTGGATATGTTTAATAGCAAAAAGTCCAAAATATAGGGTTTTTTTTCTCAAAACTGTGGGTCTTTTTTTGCTTATAATATAAAAAATAAAAAACTCACAGGCAATCAAATACCACTGAAAGAAAGCTCAATTCTTGGGAAAAAAAGGACGTAAATTTAATTTGGGTGCAGCGTTGCATGACCGCTCAATTGTCAGTTAATGTAACGCAATGCCGTAATGCAAAAATTGGCCTTGTCATGAAGGGGGGTAAATCCTCAGGAGGGCAAGGGGTTAAAATGCAAAATGCATCAAAAACGCACTACATGCTTTTCCTTATCATCTCCATTGAAGTCTATATAACCAAAAATGTTTTGCGTTTAAAAAAGTCCCCGACCCTTTCCAAAAAACGCACCGGGTGAAAACGCGGAGATGTGAACCTGTCTCATAGGAAATCATGTTAAATGGACTGCTGTGCGTTTCTGAAAACCGCAGAGGAAAACGCAGAGGTGTGAACCTAGACTAAGGCTGTGTTCACACTAGTGTCATGCATATGGTGATACCATGAGTCCTACACAGGGGCGGACTGACAACTCATGGGGCCCCCCTGGGCAATAGGGGATCATGGGGCCCCTGTGTCCTTGCCCATTACTCAAAAAAGCCTATGAAAAAGGTACCAGGGGCATCTCATGGGGCCCCCTACTGACCCCGGGCCCTCCGGCAGTGCTTAAGTTTCCAAATGGTCAGTCCGCCCCTGATTGCACCATTATCAGTATCCAAAACGCTTCTCCTATACTGACCACGGGCCCTCAGGCAGTGCCTGAGTTTCCAAATGTTCAGTCCGCCCCTGGACTCCTACACCTACCTCTCCCACATTGGTGCCCGCACTCAGGGGCGGACTGACCATTTGGAAACTCGAGGGCCCGGGGTCAGTAGGGGGCCCATGAGATGCTCCTGGTACCTTTTTCATAGGCTTTTTTGAGTTTGGGCAAGGACACAGGGGCCCCATGATCCTCTATTGCCCGGGGGCCCCATGAGTTGTCAGTCCGCCCCCCTGCCCATACTTACCTCATGGAGATTCGGGAGAATCAGATCAAAATTAAACAGCAGTTCTGGGCAACATGTGAAAGCATTTCTGTAAGCTGCTAAAGCCATCCAGCAAACCTGGCAGCTGTGCTAAAATCCAAAAAGCCCCACCTTACCTTAATGCTGGGCTCACAGTAGCCTGCAGGGTGCATTGCAGTGTGTGTCCATGCACTGTGCACATGTCAAGTACACGGTGACACCATGGGGTTTATTTACTAAAGCTGGAGAGTCCAAAATCAGACTCCCTTCTGCATAGAAACCAATCAGCTTCCAGGTTTCATTGCCAAAGCTTCATTGAACAAGCTGAGGTTAGAAGCTGATTGGTTTCTATGCAGAAGGGAGTCTGATTTTGGACTCTCCAGCTTTAGTAAATAAACCCCCATGAGTCCTACACCTGCCTCACCCACACGGGTCGTCGCACTTACCTAAACGAGAGTCAGGAGACTCCATCACAATCAGGCTCCATGCACACTAGCGGTTTTTTTAAGTTCAAAAAACACTTGCTAAAAAGTGCTGGTAATACCGTTTTTAGCAGCGTTTTAGTAGCATTTAAAAGCGTTTTATTAGCATTTTTACAGTACATGTAGAGGAAAAGGAAAAAAAAGCTGATTATTTATTTCAGGTACTTATATAGCGCCATCAATTTACATATCGCTTTACATATATATTGTACATTCACATCAGTCCCTAACCCTCAAGGGGTGTACAATCTAAAAAGCTGATAGCAGCGACCAGGACCCTGCATTCACTATATCTGGTGTCCCCGGACCCTGCATTCACTATATCTGGTGTCCCCGGACCCTGCATTCACTATATCTGATCTCCCTGGACGCTGCACTCACTATATCTGGACTCCCAGGACCCTGCATTCACTATATCTGGTCTCCCAGGACCCTGCATTCACTATATCTGGTCTCCCAGGACCCTGCATTCACTATATCTGCTCTCCCTGGACCCTGCACTCACTATATCTGATCTCCCCGGACCCTGCACTCACTATATCTGATCTCCCCGGACCCTGCATCCACTATATCTGGTCTCCCCGGACCCTGCATTCAATATATCTGCTCTCCCCGGACCCTGCATTCACTATATCTGGTCTCCCCAGACCCTGCATTCACTATATCTGGTCTCCCCAGACCCTGCATTCACTATATCTGGTCTCCCCGGACCCTACATTCACTATATCTGGTCTCCCCGGACCCTGCATTCACTATATCTGGTCTCCCCGGACCCTGCATTCACTATATCTGGTCTCCCGGACCCTACATTCACTATATCTGGTCTCCCCGGACCCTGCATTCACTATATCTGGTCTCCCCAGACCCTGCATTCACTATATCTGGTCTCCCCGGACCCTGCATTCACTCTATCTGGTCTCCCCGGACCCTGCCTTCACTATATCTGGTCTCCCCAGACCCTGCATTCACTATATCCGGTCTCCCCGGACCCTGCATTCACTATATCCGGTCTCCCCGGACCCTGCATTCACTATATCCGGTCTCCCCGGGCCCTGCATTCACTATATCCGGTCTCCCCGGACCCTGCATTCACTATATCCGGTCTCCCAGGACCCCGCATTCACTATATCTGATCTCCCCGGGCCCTGCATTCACTCTATCTGGTCTCCCCGGACCCTGCATTCACTATATCTGGTCTCCCTGGACCCCGCATTCACTATATCTGGTCTCCCCAGACCCTGCATTCACTATATCTGGTCTCCCTGGACCCTGCATTCACTATATCTGCTCTCCCACAGTACACAGAACATGGAAATTACATTATTTTAGGAAATATAAACTGCGAAATACCTTTTCTCATCAGCAGTATATAGCAGTCTTGCGACTTCTATCAGTGTTCAGCAGCGCACTGGTTAAAGTTTGTAGGGGGAGTTTTCTTTCTGCTCTAGGATCCCTGACCTCTGACTGGACAGTGCTGATTGGCCCTGTGCTGACCACATGCACTCTCCCAAGAAAAAAAAAACATCTCTAGCAATACACACCAAACTGAGCATGTGCAGAGTGTCTCCAGTCCATTTGTCTTATCAGGAGATTTTTTTTGCATTAAAAATTTAATTAAAAATAATTAAAAATATATATGAAAGCATTTTTGCTTACACATGATTGGATGATGGAAGTCAGCACTAAGCTCTAGAGCAGCTGCACAAGTAGCCTAGGGTGCAAAATAGTCTAGCACCAGCCCTGCCTGCAATGTACATAGATCACCCACAGGGGGGAGGGGTTCTTCCTAATAAAAGTAAAGTGGAGTTACTCATAAAGGCAGAACTCCATTATATGCAAATATTGTCTAAATATATTCTTCCTTGAATCCTGGTGAGCTTTGTGTATTTCTTCCAGATCTGTGCAGAAATCCAGTGAGAAATATTTCCTTCCTGTAATAAAGACTGCTCACTGCTGCTCTCTCTCCTTGTGCAGGTTGCTTGTCTTGTCTCCGCCCCCTATAGTTTTCTGTAGTGGGTGGAGCCTTCTGGGTCCCTCCCACAGCTCTGTTTTCTGCATCAGTGAGTGATGATGTCACTGCTACTTTTACAAGGTAATATCTAAGTTTGCAAAGTCATTTAGTGCACATTTAGCTTTTTGCATTGTTTTTAAGAAATCTATTAAGAAATGTACTTAAATAAACATTTTTGTTCCTGAAGTTGGGCTTTAAGACATCTGTGCGTTTCTCTTCTGCTTGTCCTGGAAAAAAGTACCGGTGATTTTTTTGGTGGGACAATGATTTGCCCATAGATTTTAATGGAAGTGCATGAAAAATGCATTTAAAAAATATAATCAGAAAAGAAATAATAATAAATGATAATAATGACTTTGCGCATGCCTGCTGCCCTGTAGCAGTATATCTGCTATAGAGTGACTGGAAAGCGGTTAAACTTCTCTACAACTTTATCCCTGACCTGTCTGGTGTGTTCCTTGGCCTTCATGATGCTGTTTGTTCACTGATGTTCTCTAACAAACCTCTGAGGGCTTCATAGAGCAGCTGTATTTATACTGAGATTACGTGACATACAGGGGGACTCTATTTACTAATTAGGTGACTTCTGAAGGCAATTGGTTCCACTAGATTTTAGTTAGGGGTATCAGAGTAAAGGGGGCTGAATACAAAACCACGGCACACTTTTCAGATATTTATTTGTAAAAAATTTTGAAACCAATTTATCATTTTCCTTCCACTTCGCAATTCTGTGCCACTTGGTGTTGGTCTATCACATCAAATCCCAATAAAATACATTGACGGTTTTGACAAAATGACAAAATGTGGACAATTTCAAGGGGTATGAATACTTTTTCAAGACGCTGTAGAACTCTGTAACATGCAATTTGATGAAAGCCCATCAAGGATGCAGCAAGCAGGATTGTTTGTATGGCAGATGCATTGCTGTGAACAGGACCTAAGAGCTCATCCTGAGTTGCATTGATCAATGCAAGACCAGGGGCGGACTGACAACTCATGGGGCCCCCAGGCAATAGGGGATCATGGGGCCCCTGTGTCCTTGCCCAAACTCAAAAACGCCTATGAAAAAGGTACCAGGGGCATCTCAGGGGGCCCTTTTCAGAGCTGAGAGATCCTGTGTGAATTCTGCACTATGACACAAATATAGAGAAGACCTACTGACCCCGGGCCTTCAGGCAGTGCCCGAGTTTCCAAATGGTCAGTCCGCCCCTGTGCAAGACTCGATGCAAGGACATAGAAAATACTATTGCTACTTCTAAAAAAGTTTTCCAAGAGGAAAATGGTGACAGAGGGAGGGACCTCCAGCAGAGTGACAGCCTCAGCCCTGTTCCTGTGGGAAGGTGGGTGTGTCCCTTCCCTCCAATCAGCTCTCAGAGCTCTCTTTGCTGAGATCCCCCGCCCCCTGCTTTTCAGAGCTGAGAGATCCTGTGTGAATTCTGCACTTTGAACAAATATAGAGAAGACAAGGCTGCAAATAAACAGGTACAACTTATGTAGGAGGATTTGTTTCATGTCTGTGTATCACCTGAGGTCAGTCACTTCACTGGGTATATGGAAGGGTTTACAATTACTTTAAGACTGTGTTCACATGTACAGTCAGGGGGCAGTAAAACTAGGCAGTTGAGCCACAGTTTTACCACCCCTGACCACCCAACTGAACACTAATATGCAGCCGTTCATGGCTGTACACATGGCATAGCCACGGCAAAGGTTAAACAGCATGTCGCTTTCAGCGGGTAGCGCCGCAGCAATGCACACGACTGTGGAGATCTCGCACTCTGAAAAGTGATCCACAACTTTCCCCTCTAACGTCCCCCTTACACCAGAATCCCCCCTTACATCAGAATCCAAACTTACATCAGAGTCCCTCTCTCACATCAGAATCCCCGCTTACATTAGAACCCCCTCTTATATCAGAGTCCCCCTCTAACATCAGAGTCCTCCCTTACATCCCTGCTCCCTCTTACGTCAGCATCGTGACTTACATCAGCATCCTCTGTAACATCAGAGTCCCCTCTAACATCAGAATCCCAACTTACATCAGAGTCCACTCTTACAACAGAGTTCCCCCTTACATCACAGCTCCCTCTTAGATCAAAATCGGGACTTACATCAGAGTCCCCCTCTAACATCAGAGTCCCTCCTTACATCAGTATCAGTATCCAACTTAAATTAGAATCCCCTCTCACATCAGTGCCCCCCTTACATCACAGCTCCCTCTTACATCAGAATCATGACTTACATCATAATCCCAACTTACATCAGAATCCCCCTCTAATATCAGAGTTCCCCCTTACATTAGAATCCCAACTTACATTAAAATCCCCTTTCACATCAGAGTCCTCCTTACATCACAGCTCCTTCTTACACCAGAATCATGACTTACATCGGAATCCCCCTCAACATCAGAGTTCCCCCTTACATCAGAATCCCAGCTTACATCAGAGTCCTCCTTACATCACAGCTCCTTCTTACACCAGAATCATGACTTACATCGGAATCCCCCTCAACATCAGAGTTCCCCCTTACATCAGAATCCCAGATCTACATCAGATTCCTCCTTATATCACTGCTTCTTCTTAGTCAGGGGCGGACTGACCATTTGGAAACTCGGGCACGGCCAAGGGCCTGGGGTCAGTAGGGGGCCCCATGAGATGCCCCTGGTACCTTTTTCATAGGCTTTTTTAGTTTGAGCAAGGACAAAGGGGCCCCATGATCCCCTATTGGCCGGGGGCCCCATGAGTTGTCAGACCACCCCTGCTTCTTACATCAGAATTGTGACTTACATCAGAGTCCCCTTTAACATCAGAGTCCCTCTTTACATCAGAATCCTAACTTACATCAGAATCCCCCACTAACATCAGAGTTCCCCCTTACATCAGAGTCCCCCATCAGAATGTGTGTGTGTGTACAGTACAGTAATATACAGAATAGTAAAGTGCTGCATGCAGGGGCGGACTGACCATTTGGAAACTCGGGCACTGGTACCTTTTCATAGGCTTTTTTGAGTTTGGGCAAGGACACAGGGGCCCCATGATCCCCTATTGCCCGGGGGCCCCATGAGTTGTCAGTCCACCCCTGGCTGCATGTATGAACTTCATGAGCCTGTGCTTTGTTAGTGGCCTTTAAATCTGCCTCTAACCCTTGTGTTGCGGTAAAATGCGGTTTCCACCCAATGCTGAGTGCACGGTACCACAATGAACTAATTCAATCCATCCAGTACTGCAGAGATCTGACCTGCCAGGAATAGAAGAGGGTCTGCTGCAGTTTCACATTTACTTACTGGTCTCCTCTCCCCCCTGTGACTGAATCAGGGCCGGATCTAGCCTGTCTGATGTGGAGGTGCAGTAAAAAAAAGTCAGGGGGGCAGAAGATTGGAGGTCAGCAGGGCAGTGTATAGAGGGTAAGCGGGGCAGAGGATAGGGTCATTAGTTTGTATTGCAGTGTACAGAGGTCATTAGTTTGTAGGGCAGCGTACAGGGATCAGCTGGGTGGAGGACAGGGGTCAGGAGTAGATAAGGCAGAGTTCAGGGGCCAGTAATAAGTGATGCAGAGGACAGATTTTGCCTACCAGTGGGAGAAGCTTCAAGGGAATGCTTAACCTCCCTAGCGGTCTGATTATGACAGTATTTCTGTGCTCAAAGCGGTACATTTTTTTGCATGGAAATATGTTGTTTTTTTTTATTGTAGGCCTGTAATTCCTAAGAATAACTCACTGAAATCTGTCCGAACAAGAGTCTAG